AGAGGGGGGGGCGGGGCAGGGCGCGGCTCGGGCCCCGCACCAGCATGGCGTCGCGCGCGGCGAGGTCCGCCTTCTCCTTGGCGACCCGCTCCTCCTCGGCGCGCTCCGCCGCCTTGGCCTTCTCCGCCGCCTCGGCCTCCGCCTTCTTCGCCTTGTCGATCTTGGCGGCCTTTGCCGTCGTCGAGAGCGAGGCGGTCGCGACCGTCGACGCGACCTCCTTCTTCTCGTTAGAGGTTGGCGGCGGGTAGGCGAAGGCGGAGGGCGGCGCGCCCGACTTGAAGCGCCACTGCGGCATGCGCAGGTCGGCGTTGAGGCCGATGGCGGCGGTTGGCGTGAAGGCGAGCGAGACGAAGAGGAGGAGCGGGTGCCAAAACCAAAAGTGCGAGAAGATGCCCATGCCGACGATGGCGGGCATGATCTTGTTGCCCGTGCGCGAGGTGAGGCCGATGGTCACGTTGCGGCCGCCCGCGTCGAGGAGGCCCGTGGCGACGATGGCGCCAAACTTGGTCATCGTGTCCTCGTGCTTGTCGCCGACCACCTTGCGCAGGTCCTCGCGGTGCTTCGAGAGCTTCGAGTCCGCCTTGTGGTCTGCGCTCTGCATGAGCACCATCGACGAGGCGAGGAGCGCGCCCTGCCGCACGTAGTCGACGGGGTCGGAGAGCATGGGCGTGAGCAGCTCGAGCGCCTCCTTGGAGCCGGACCCCGCGCACGAGATGCCGACCGCGAAGGCGGAGCCGTACCGCACGTGCGGGTTGTACGACTCGGCGAGCAGCTTGACGACGCGCGGGCACTGCGCGGGCGTGTTGGCGAGCACGAAGCCGATGGCGATGACGGCGGCGCGGCGCACGTCGTCCGACACGTCCGACACGGCCACGTGCAGGCACTTTCGCAGCGCCGCGTTGGAGCCGGTCGCGGCAAACGCAAACGCGATCGTGTACATGGCGCCGTAGCGCAGGATCGGGTCCTGCCCGGGGACGGTGAGGGAGGGCGGTGAGGGGAGGGGCGGTGGGAGAGAGTGGCAAGGGGTCGTGGTCAGAGGAGAGGGGCGCTCGTGACGAGAGGCGGCGTGTGTGCGAGCGGCTCTCGCTCCTGCTCGTGCAGCAGCGTCGTCACGAGCGGGTCCGCCTCCTCCTCGCGCCCGTACATGCAGAGGGCGATGCCGATCGCGAGCCCGCGGATGATCTTCTCGTGCGCCGTGTCGTGCGCGTACCCGAGCATCTCCTCAATCGCCTGAGGCGCATGGACCCCGTGTGACGCGAGGCGGTCGCGCGGTCGCGCTGCGCGGGCGGCCCCTCGAGGCCGCGCCTTTGGCGACGCCGAGCCGAGCATGAGCAGTCCCATCGCGAGGGCGGCCGCCTCGCCCGCGACGGCCGAGTCGTTGAAGAGGACGCCCTTGAGCTCCTCGTAGAGGTCCTCGTCCTCGGAGCCCATCATCGAGATGCCGATCCCCAGCGCGCAGCCATGCTGCACGACCTCGTTGGTGCCGGCGCTGCGCAGCGCGTCGAGCAGGTAGGCGCGGATGGAGTGGCCGTGGTTCGCGTGGATGATGCCGAGTGCGAAGAGGGCGCCGCCCTCCGAGTACGGCGAGGCGGACATGCCCGCCTGCGGCAGGTACGGCGCCAGCAGCGAGAGCGCCTGCTTGACGTGGCCGCGGTGGATGACGCCGAGCGTGGCGGTCGCGGAGAACTTTGCCCAGTTGGTGGCGCGCGAGAGCCACTCGAGGTTGTCGCGGAGGAACGAGTCGGCGGTGGTGCCCGCGTTCATGAGCGAGTGCGCGAGGACGATCGCCGAGTGGCAGAGCGAGTTGCGCTGGTCGGCCGCCTTCTTCATCCCGGTCAGGATCAGGGTGTCGGTCTTGTTTGAGCGGACGAGGAACTCGAGGCTCAGCCTGCAGGCGGGGCGCGAGATATGGGGAGATATGCGGAGATATGCGGAGATATGGGGAGATATTCCGACGAGGGAGCTGGCCCAGCGGGCGGGGCGCGGGAGGGTCGCGGGCGCGGACGTGGCGTCACGGCGCGACGGCGCTGTGTGGACGCAGCGGCGAGAGCCCACAGAGCCCACAGAGCCCACAGAGCCCGCAGGGCACGCGCAGCGGGAGGCGTGGGCTGGCGCGAGGGGGGGGCCGCGGTGTGGAGAGAGGCTCGGGGCGCGCACCCGATCGACGCCTCGCCCGAGAGGATGAGCTGGAGGTTGGCGTGCGCCTTGGAGGCGGCGGGCTCGACGACCTCCGCGGGCGGCGGCGCCGCCGCCGCCGCCTCCCCCTCCGCCGCCCCCTCGGCGGCCGACGGCTCGGCCGCGGCGGGCGGCGGCGGCTTTGCCTTCGTCCGCTCGGCGACGAGCTTGAGAAAGGCCTGTGTGCAGTTGTCGACGAGGTCGAAGGAGATCTGGAAGGCGGCGAGGCGCGCCTCGGCGCTCTCGCTCTCGATGAGCTGCGACAGGATCGCGGCGACGCCCGCCGCGTCGCCCGCCTGCGCCAAGCAGCGCGCGAGGCCGAGGTACTCTGGCGCGGGCAGGCCGCGGTAGATGGTGACGAGCAGGGCGATGAGGGTGGCGCGGAAGGAGCGTGGCACGACGGCGGAGGAGAAGAGGCCGAAGCAGTACTCGAGCATCTTGATCGTCGAGGCGTCGTGCTCGAGCTCGCCCGGCTTCGCGTCGCACAGCAGGATGATCCGCTCGATGAGGTCGGTGCGGCGCGCCTCGAGCGCCAGCCCCATCACCATCTGGTACGCGCGCCGCTCGAGCGAAGACTCGACCATCCGATCGACGAGGTCGATGAGCCGGCGGTCGATCGGCGCCTCTGCCGCCGTGCTCGACCCGCCCTCCTCCTGCGACCCCGTGGCCGCCTCGTACCGCTGCTGGTGCTGCTTGCAGTACTCGTCAATCGCCTTTGCGAGCAGCGTGTCGACGTACCTGCCGCGCGTCGAGAGCGGGCGGCGGAGATGGGGAGGGGCGGGGCGGCCGAGCCGAAGCGGCGGGCGGCGCCGCGCCGCCGCAGGCAGGAGAGGGGGGGGGCGGGGCGGGATGCACTCGGAGCCCTCGTCAACATTGAAGAGCGTCTCGGCGCCGAGCGCAAAGACGAGCGCGTCCGCGTACTCGCCGAGGTAGTAGTACACCTTGGAGGCGACGAGTGCGGCGAGGCGCCGCTGCGGGAAGGCCTCGTCCTCGTAGAGCGCCTCGATGTCGGGAAGGGACTCGGAGATCTCGGCCCAAAAGTCGGGCACCACGCGCTCGAGCTTTTGCAGCGCGTGCACCTTGATCTGCGTCTCGCTCTCCTCGAGCATCGCGAGCAGCCCGACCGACGAGGTCAGCGGCGCGGGCGCCGGCAGCACGGCGGTCGCCATGGTCGGAGCGGCGGGTCGGCGAAGGTGGGGCTGCGATTGGAGAGAGCGGCGCGTCTGGGCGCCGTGCTGTATTTTTTTCTCGAAGGTAGGCCCGCCCCTCCCGTCGGGTTTTCCCCTCTCTTCACGCCGGAATTTTCAAAAAAGAAATTTTCGGCGAAAATCACGACGAACGACGTCAACCCTCCCCATCTGGGCGATCTGGTGCTTGTAGGGCTTGAGAGTGGCCTGCCATGTCACAGGAAGGACTGCGGTTGCAGGAGAGTACGACCACCCATCACTTTAGTTGGTTTACTACCCCACCTTCACGACAAATGATTCTTTTTTAGTTTCCCATAAGTAGGGTAGGTAGGTAGGTAGGTCAAAAGTCCTTGTGGCTCAGGTGGCGTTTATTTTTGCTTGGGCGGGTATCATGACGGGGTAGGTAGGGTAGGTCTGGGCCCTCCCGTCGGGTTTTTCCCTCTCTTCACGCTGGAATTTTCACAGCAAAAAAAGAAATTTTCGGCGAAAATCACGACGTCAACCCTTCCCCAAGTGGGTGATCTGGTGCTTGTAGGGCTTGATAGTGGCCTGGGCGAGGCGGCCTGCCATGTCACAGGAAGGACTGTGATTGCAGGAGAGTACCACCAGCCATCACTTTAGTTGGTATAGTACCCCACCTTCACGACAAGTGATTCTTTTTTAGTTTCCCATAAGTAGGGTAGGTAGGTAGGTAGGTAGGATACCCATCACTGAGCCGACAATGCTACGGGTAGCCCCAGGGTGGCGCCCACCCCCATGCCCTCGGGCACTTGCCTGCGCCCTCGCGCACTAGCCCACGCCCTGCCCCGCAAGATCTCACTCCATCCCGGCCTGCGGCATACCTCGGCACCCCCTTGCACGGAATCTGAGCGTGAGGGAATCTGAGTGTGAGGGAATCTGAGCGTGAGGGAACCTGGGCAGTGCCGCGTAGTGCGGCGTGCGCGGGCGTGCGCGGGCGTGCGCGGCGTGCGCGGGCGTGCGCGGCGTGCGCGGCGTGCGCGGGCGTGCGCGGCCAGGGCGCAGGCAAGTGCCTGAGGGTATGGGGGTGGGCGCCACCCTGGCTGGGGCTACCCATAGCATCGTCGGCTCAGTGATGGGTATCCGTAGGTAGGGGCACCGCAGGGGCCGGTCAGGTTTTTCCAGAATTTCATCATGATACCCGCCCAAGCAAAAATAAACGCCACCTGTGTGGCTGAGACTTGGGAGGTATCGAGTGGGAGTTCATTGGAGCTGCACAAACTTTGATAGTTTTTGATCGCCCAACGATGATCGCCTCGGTCGGCCTAGCTCGCTCCCCGCTCCTGCGCGTCTCTTCGGTCATCGCAATCCTCACTTTTGTGGCCTTCGCCGTCTCTCGCGCGCGGCAGCTCGTCGTGCCAAGCGCGGAGGAGCTGCCAGGTGGACTCCCGAGCATCTTCCGCTTTGGAGGGGGCGGCGCCAGCACCAGCACCGGCGTTGGAGGGGGCAGCGCAAAGGTTCTCGAGAGCAGAGAAGCTCTCATGGATGCGATCGACGAATGCGTTGGCTTGTCGCCGAGCGGAGCATGCGACACGCTTTTCGGTCTGCCCATCGGTCTGTGGGATGTGTCCTCAGTAACGGACCTGTCATGGACGTTTGCGCACGCCGAAGCCTTTGACCAGGACCTCAGTGCGTGGAACGTGTCTGCATGCACCTCGATGGCCTACATGTTTTACCGCGCCTCGTCCTTTAACCAGGACATCGGCGCGTGGGACACGTCTGCTGTCACCAGCATGGCTTTTATGTTTTACCGCGCCTCCTCCTTCAACCAGGACGTCTCCGCCTGGGACGTGTCCGCGTGCAGAGACATGAGCCTGGGACGTGTCCGCGTGCAGAGACATGAGCAATATGTTTGCCTACACTTCCGCCTTTGACCAGGACATTGGTGCGTGGGACGTCTCCTCTTGCACTGACATGGCATTTATGTTCTCCGCCACCGGCTCCTTCAACCAGGACCTATCCGCGTGGAACGTAACTGCCGTGGCTGACAGGCGCTCGCGTGGCCGCTTTCAACCAGCGCTGCGTGTGTGGAGATGCTCACCCCATTCCTGCCCTCGTTTCAGGGGCTACATGTTTGCCTACACCTCGGCCTTCGACCGGGACATCAGCGCGTGGGAGGGCTGGCGGTGACCGAAAGAGAAAGAGAGAATCAAACCAGGCTCCGGGAGAGAGACGCCGGCGCCAGGGAGTGCCTCTTCAAGCCTCTGACACACACACAATGGCAGCAGCTCCTACCCACTCCGCCGCAACTCGAATATGTTGCGGCGGGTGGGTGTGTTGTGGCACACAACATACGGTGCGCGCCAATGATGTCTGCGAATAAAAGTATATTTGTACGTGCATGGCAACACGACGACTCCACGACTGCGATGCGCCGATCTCTGCATCTGATCTCTCCTTTGCGCTCACGATCAGTAGTACTTTGCGCTCTCCACCTCGTCGTCGGACGACGACGTCGACGAGTCCGAGAAGGTTCCTACAGGGGACAATCTCACGCGGGTGGCAGCGAGGGCGGCGGTGCGGGCAGGAGGCCAGCCCCGGTGTCTGCGGCGGGCGCGTGCGCTCGTGCCGGCACGTACGCGGTACGGTGTACTATGGGGGAAGGAGGGGGGCGGGGGAGGAGCGAGGAGGTCTTAACCCAGTGTCTGCGGCGGTGCGGTTTGTATCTCTGGTGCGTCTGTCCAGTCTCTCCGCGCGCTCTCGCTCCTCTGCATGTCTATTGGGCTTCTCGCGCTGTCCTATTCGCCTCGACCCCTTCTGCCTTTTACCCGGCTTATATTCCTTCCGCCTTGCTTGGCCACACACGAGGCGCGCCGCGGAGCCGGAGGGCAATATGATCTCACGCGTGGCTCTGCTAGACCGACAGCGTAAACACGACGAACGCACGTGCGACGTGGCGCGCCGACGTGCAACTTTAGTGTTTAGTATATGGTGCCTGCTGGCGGCAGCCACCGTGGTGGCCGACCTCTGGGGCTCCTCCGTCGTCAGGAAAGTGGCCCCTCCGATATGTAGCGGACATCCGCGCTACATATCGCCTCGGCCGATACGTATCGCTGGAGGGTGCTATGTAGCGCCCCGTGATATAGCGCCCGGCGGTGATACCATATCGGCGCCGCTACCATAACGCAGTACACGGCGTGGCTGTGCAGCCGCGTGTGGCCGCTGCCGATGACACCGGTCACATGGACTTCCCGCCGCCTCAGTTGGTCTTTGCCTTCTCGTCACCACACAGGGAGGTGAGGAGTCCGAGAGTGAGCAGCACAATCTGGCCACCGACGATCGGAAGGAGGACGGGGTTGCTGAAGAGGCCATCGAGCGCCGGCCATGGTTTGACGCCCGGACCGACAGGGGCGATGACCTGGACCACGAAGCACCACAGATCGAGCGCGATCATGAGGGAACCGGTGATCTGCTGCGCCGAGAGATTGAAGAGGGTGGCCGCGCAGAAGCAGATGGCCGCGACGAGCACATTCTTACCAGCGTCGATGTACATGACGTGCATGAACAACGGCGACTCGAGGTCGGCCTTGGTGAAGCTGGCCGCGCCGAGGAGTTCCTGCGCACCCTCCAGGCCCTTGGTGATGAGGATCAGGGCGGGGGGCAAGAACAGGAAGCCCGAGACGAAGAACGCGGCTTTGAGTAGCATGCCCGACAGCGTCTCTTCACGTACGCACAACCCAGGGCCGAAATCAGCACAGAGTCACGCAACCCGCGTCTCTTCACATAATATAAACGCACAACCCCGGACAGCGTCTCTTCATCCCTTCCGTGCTTCTCCTCCTTCGCAAAATTTCGGATTGCGCACTTGGAGCACTTGGAGTGCAGTCATTCATTAACCTCACATCCAGGGCCGGGCGGGGAGCTAAGAAGCGCACCCAGCGAGCCGGATGGTCGGTATCGGGCTACGGGCTAGAGAGCCCTGGCCCCTAGCTAGGGGGGGGTGCGCGTTCGCAGGGAAAGGGCCGTAAAGTAAACACGGGTACTCAGCGCTCAAGTTGCGGCACTTGGAGCACTTGGAGTGCAGTCATCAACCGCACATCCAGGGCCGGGGAGCTCAGAAGCGCACCCAGCGGGCCGGATGATTGGCATCGGGTTACGGGCTAGAGAGCCCTAGCCCCGGGGGTGCGCGTTCGCAGGGCAAGGGCCTTAAAGTAAACACAGTTCTCCGAGGGTTGGACCCGCGTACCGGGTTTCCCCTTAACTGCAGGACGCCCCCTCTACTCGGAGCTAGTGGACATTACACTGGACACCACGCCCAAACAGACACTTGCTTAGTCCTCGGTCCCGGGGCTCCACCTTCGGTCCTCCCGGGGCTCCGGTTCTCCCCGATTCGCTCTCTTGCTCGCTTGCCGAGCGTCATACGACGGCCGGTGTGGTCGTTTCCCTCGTTGTTGGTGTCGCTTCCTCCGCTGCCGCCTTTCGTCTTCGCTAGCCTCTCCCAGCTCCACCGGTTCTGAGAGTGTCGGCGGCCCGGCCGGGGTCACCCCGGGTGAGAACGGTGGCATTGGGTCGCGACCAGTTCCACCCCCGGGGGGTCGAGCCCGCTCTCCCTGGTTGTCTCGCGCCCGCACCCGCGGCCTCTCTGTCGTCCTCGGCTCGCCCCCCCCCTCCGCCGGCTCCTCTCCAGGCTCGGGGGGGCGTGGCCCTCCCTGTGGAAGGTCGTGGTGGTCCGGTTGCCACTGCGACTGGCCTTCCCCTGGTGAGCCCGTACGTCCCGACTCCCCTCTCAGAGGCCGCGTCAGCTCATCTCTCGCCTCCTCCGACAACTGACCCCAAGTCCCTTCCGGGGCCCTCCGGTCACGGCCCTCCGGCTCGCCGGTGGGCCCACTATCGTACCGCGGTAACTCCCCTCCCCCATCTCCTCCGCCCGGATACACCAGCCTCCGGCGGGGCGGTCCCGGACCCCCCAGGTTATTCCGAGCGGGTCCATACGGCGGCGGCCCCGCCGGCGGCGGGGGTGGAGGCGGTGGCAGGGGCGGCGGGTACGGTGGCGGCCCTCGCGGCCCAAACGTCTGGTGTGGAGCCGCTGGGGCGGCCCCACGACCCTGCAGCCGTTCCAGTGGCGGGGGTGGAAATGGCAGTGTGGGTGGCGGAAACGATGGCGGCACTGGCGGCCGCACCGCTTGGTGCAGAACCTCAGGGGCGGCTCCTCGACCCAGCGGTCGCTCCAGCGGCGGGGGCGGAGGTGGTGGTGGCGGGGGCGGGCCCGATGGCGGCGCCGGCCGCCGCACCTCCTGGGGCGGGGCCTCGGGGGATGCCCCCTGCCCCTGCGGCCATTCCAGCCGTGGCTCCACGCGTCGGCCGTCCACCCCGCTCGTGGGGGGGGGCCTAGCTCTCATCTCCCCTCGGGGAGGGGGGGGGGCAGGGCCCGGATTCGTCGACGGCCCCGCTTCTCCCCCCCCCCTCTCCGCATCAGGCCGTAGACCGCCCAGTAGTCGCGTCGCCTCCCCCCTCGCCTGGTCCTTCTCGATTCGATCCCGCACCGCCCGGATATCAAAGGCCGAGTTGTGTTCAGACAGCGGGCCCGCCGATGCCACCCGCCTCTTCACACAGCAGGCGTACGCCTTCAGCGCCTGCCCCCCCGACTGTGTCGGCCCCGGTGCGATGTCGTTGACGAGGTAGTCCTCTCCCTCCCACCGGAAAACCTGTCCAAGAAGATCTGTCGAGCCGACCAGTCGTTTAGCCAAGCCCCGCACCTCTCGTGCCTGTACTGGCCTGAGCACGCCGGTGCTGTCCGCGACCGACAGACCGATCGCCCTAAGTTCCGCCAGGACCGCCTTCTCGCCCGCCACCGCGGCCTCTTGGTCCCTCTCGGCTTCTCGGATCGCATCCTGTCGTTGTCTCACCCTGTCAGCTGCCGGTACGAACCTCACCGGGCTGTCTCGTGTCCTTCGTGGCAGAGTCCGTGTCGGGGGAGGCCGACCCGCAGGTGCAGCCCCGGCTCGGGGTGCGCTCGCCTGCTGTGGCGGCTGCCGCCCCCTCACCCCTAACCCGCCTCCTTGCCTCCTCTTCTCACGGACCACAGGGGCTGCACAACAAAAGCACACAAACACTCCCTGTCCCTGCATGGCTTGGCGTAGGCGCGTCCTCATCCCCTCCTCCGCCTCTCCTTCCACCCGCTCCGAGATCCGTTCCAGGATGGCACTAACCACCTCTTCAGCCACTCCCGTAGCCGCAGGTCCGTCTTCCGGCTTGACGTGGAACAGTGTGCGAAATTTACCGCCGCACCCATGACAGGCGGCTAGCGTGGGGAAGCGCTCCATCCCGAGCGACTCGAGAGGGATCCCCACCGCTTGCCAGTGGCGCGTCACTTGTATCGCGCGCTGCTTGGCCACCCGGGCCACCATCCTCAGGGCGCCTCCCTCCATCCCGAGCAGCGCACCCGCCATCTCCGCCTCCGCCATTCCCACTAGTCGCAGGAACCGGGGGAGGGCGGCCGGCACCGCTCCGTCAGGGACGGCCTCCTCCGGGGCCTCTCCCGCAAGCCCGTGTAGCACTTGCAGCGTTTCTGCCGCGTCCTTCGCCTCCTCCCCGCCCCCCACGACCCCGTCTGACAAAGGTAGGAACGACAGGGAGTCGGGCTGCCAGCGCACCACCCTCCATGGTGCCATGAAGTCCACCGCTCCGCAACACGTCTGCGCAGTCCACGCCAGCGTCCGCCGGACCCCGCCCCCATACCACGTGGGGGCCCACATCGTTGGTGCGCCGGTCCCCCGCCCACCGGTGCCGCCCGCTAAGAAGGCGAGCCGCCGCAGCGCTTCGGCGCTCACCGTTTGAGCCACGTTATCCCTCCTTGGCGCAAAAAGGAGCACTCTGACGTGCCGAGAGTTCATCAGCCGGGCGTGGCGGCGGAGCGCTCCCGGTTGACGGCATCTCGGCGGGCGGAGGGGGTCCTCTCCACCCCCTGCCCAAGCGTGGGTGTTCGCATAAACCGACTCCGTGGCGTTGGCCCATCCCGCCGCGTGTCCAAAGGCGAGTGTCCCGGCCGGGAAGAAGAGCACCTCGTCCACTGCCGCCCCACTACTGCTTAGGTTCTGGTAGGCGCGACACGACTTCTGCTGCCCCTCTTGCGGCGCCTCCTGAACGACCATCACCACCCGAGGGACGTCTCGGGCAGTTATCGCCGCGTTGAATCCCCCCGTCTGCCGGAACGATCTCCCACCGGTTATAATAACCGGCGGCAATCGATAGTCAAAGTTGAGCTCCGGAAAGCGATAGAGCGCCCGCCCATGTCCTCCGCTTGTTGTGCAGCACCCGCGGCGCGCGCGCGCCGCGGTGTTGACCAACGACCGTGCCACTGGAGGCTCCCACGCCACTCGCGGCAATCCGCATCGAGGCCGCCCGTCGGCGCAGCAAAGGCACTGCGCACTTCTGGGCAGCGCCCAGAATGCAGGGGAGGCCTTGGCGCTTCTCGCCAGCCAGGCTGACTCGGCAACCGGCACGCGAGCCGACTGCGCGTCCCGAGCCCACGGATCGGCGCCGTCGCACAGGCCCGCCAGCCGCCGCACAGCTCCAGAGAGGCCACTGGCGTTGCGCTGCACTGCTTGAAGCTGATGTTGAGGCGCTGCACTGCTCAAAGCTGCCTCGCGCGCCGCCGCGAGCGCCGCGCCGTGGCCTCGTTCTCTGGCGAGCCCCAGCACGACCCCTCGCGGCCACTCGCGCCGTTGCAGCAGCTCCGACCCCGCCACTCCGGCTCCCGAGCGCGCGACGAGCACGAGGAAGAGCATGCGCATGGGCCAAAATCAGTTACTCGGGCGGATCCGCGGCGTTTCCTTCTTGTTTGTGGCGGGCCTAAGTAACTGTACTGCCGCGTTTTATGGCCGAGGTCGAGGCCCCGCTGCCGCTGCTCACCTTCCTCGCCGAGGTTGTGGGCCCGCTTGGCGCGCCCTTTTGGCCAGCAGACTACAGCAAGCGGGCCGCAAGTGAAAGCACTACCGCCGCCTCCTCCGCTGCCTCCCATGCAGACTCCGTCGCGGCTCTCATCGGCATGCCTGCAATCTCTTAAATGGCAAGTTAAGCCCCCAAACCTCCTCGTTTCTTAAAAGGTCTCAAAAAATCGCTGAGCCAGAACGTCGGCTCGCGAGGTGGGGTGCTAGTATGAGCCCGACCCAGGTCGTAGTGTTCTTGCTCCCAGCGCTTGCGCTTCGGCGGTTAGTGGTGCACTAACGTCTAACCTCCGAGAAACCCGTCGGGCCGCTCCTCATCGCAAACCCTGTCAGCGTTGCTTCCCTGTACTTGCATCTTGAGTAGATGTAGACTGGGTGTATATGGGGTTGCGAGGTCGAGCGATCGGTACATAGGGATTTTGCATTTCTTCTTGTGCAAGCATTTTACAGGAAAGTACCTTTGACGATGGCCGGGTTCTTACTCCAGTTCGCCCCCGCCGTGGTTGCACCCCGGCGGCACCCCGCCGTGGTTGGCCGCGCGTCGACGATCGGCGGCACGCCGGCTGTCACCGACCGCACTGCCGTCGGCACGCTCTCCCTCCCCTCCCTCGGCATCGGCACCATCGCGTGGAACGGCAAGACGGAGGAGGACAAGGCTCGCATCGCCGGCGTCGCTGCGGCGGCTCAGGCACGCGGCCTCGACTTCTTCGACACGGCGGAGCGGTACGGCGCATCGCCACTCTCCCTCATCCCCGCCGCACTCGCCGGGCTCGGGCTGCCCGTGGACAAGTCCTACCTCGGCGGCGACTGTGAGGTGCGGGGAGAGGCCCTGAGTGACCCTGAGTGACCTTTGCGCGGTTCGCGAGCCGTCCATCGTCCCCGCCGAGTCACAGACACCCCCCCCCCCCCCCCCTGCACCGCCGCCCGCGATCCTCCCCCTCCCCCCCCCTCGCCGCCGCCTCACCCGGCCGGTCCCCTGCCCTTCTCAGTCCAACCTCGCGGAGTGGGGACGCGGCGCGACGGTGGCGACCAAGTTCACGCCGACGCCGTGGCGGCGCCAGGCGTCGGATGTCGTCGACGCGGCGCGCGGCTCGTGCGAGCGGCTCGGCGTGGACTCGATCGACCTCTACCAGCTCCACATGCCAGATATCATCCAGCCGTTCCGCGCGTTCGGTGCAAACCCGCTCCCCTCCTTCCTCCTGCGACCCCCGAACCCTCCTCCTCGGGCGAGAGCGGCGGAGTGCCAGCCCTCCGCCCCGCCGCCCAGGCGTCGTCGACCGCAAGGACGAGATCTACTGGGACGGCCTCGCCGAGGCGTACAAGAGCGGGCTCGTCAGGAATGTCGGCGTCTCCAACTACGGCGGCGCGCTGCTCGAGCGCGCGCAGGAGCACCTGGCGCGGCAAGGGGTGCCGCTCGTCTCGAACCAGATCGCCTTCAACCTGCTTTGCCGGCGCGAGGTGCGCGCCAGCCCTCGCACCGCGCCTCGGGCGGCGGCGCCTCATCCCTCACCCGCTCCCGCCACGCTTCCTGGGGCAGGGCTCTCTCGCGACGCTGGAGAAGGGCAACGAGCTCGGCGTGCGCACGCTCGCCTACTACCCGCTTGCGATGGGCCTCCTCACCGGCAAGCTGGCCGCGCGCAACTTGCGCCAGGCCGTCCTCGAGAAGCGCGTCTCGCCGCAGCGCGCGGCGGACCTCTGCCGCTACCTCGAGGGCGGCAGCGGCGGCACCGCCGGCGACATCCCGCGGAACGGCGTGCTGCCGCTGCTCGAGGCGGTGTCGGACGTGGCGGCGGCGCGGAGCAAGACGCCCGCGCAGGTGGCGCTCAACTGGGTCATGTGCAAGGGGGCCATCCCGGTGGGAGGCGCGTCGAGCGTCTCGCAGGTTGAGGACAACCTCGGCGCGCTCGGCTGGAGGCTCGAGCCGAGCGAGGTGGGCCAGCTAGACGCGGCGGCGGACGACCTGCCCTTCGACTTCAAGGGCGCCGGCTTCCAGACGACGGACTCAAAGTTCGTGGGCTACGGCTTCGAGCGTTGGGTCCTCAACTAGCGCCGCCGGCCGCCAAATCTCCGCCTCTCCCCGCCTCTGCCTCCGCCGGAGAAGGAGGAAGGGGGGGGGGGGGGGTTGGGGGGGCGGCGCGCGGCGCGATCCACCAGGGGGGGGGGAGGGCCAAGGGAGGGGTGTGTGGAGCAGCCTCCCCTCGCCCCCCCTCCCCCGCCGCGCCTGATGCCATGTACGTTGTGAACCCTGCTCCCTCGTGTGTGCACTCCACTCCCCGCTTCTACCCCAGCCCAGTATGCCAGCTGCCCCCGCGCCACTAGCCGCCTCAGTGCGGCAGCACACCCGCCCGGTCTTGTCGCTCTCTTGCTCGTGCCCGTCTTACCATGTATCTCACACTTCTCGGCCCTCTCCCACTCCGCAGCGTGTCCACGTATCCCGTATCCGTCCGGATTCTTGTGAGTCCCTTGTGTCATGAGATTGTCTCTCGCATCTGGTGAGTGGGCCTGGTCCGAGGCCTTGTGTATATCGTATGTACCGAAGCCGCGTTGTCTTTTCTCTAAAACGCTGCGCGCGCAACAATCTCGCTGCTCGCGGTTCCTTTTTACCCACACTCGGCCCCTGGTAGGGGCACACCTCTGGTCCTGTCCGTCACCTCTCTCAGGACCCCTCTGCCACGGCCAGCGGTGTGCGCCGCCCGCCGGGCCGCCGGGGCCCCCGCGGGAGGTGTCAGGTGACCCAGGTGTCCGAGCTATGAATGCGACCGCCCTAATAGTTTCGAGAGGGGAGCTTAAAAAGCGCGGTCGTTTAAGTAGGCCGCGCGTAAAAAGCGCCCCCCGTAAGCCGTATAGCGGGGGAGAGAGCGAGAGAGAGAGACCCATTTCTTGAGGTCCGGATTCCGCACGTGTCGCGGCACCGCGCCGTGGCGCACCCGACCGCGCGGCACATGAATCATGATCTCTAATTCTCTATCTGAGATTTCTCTCTCGGAGAACTCCCTCTACATCTCTCTCTCCACTCTTGACTCGGATCCCACTCCTCACGCACGTCGACAACGCCTAGAAGCCTCTCGCAAGACAGACACAGAGCGACCCGCTCCAGAGGGGGCTCAAACGAGCACCAAGAGGCCCGCGTAAGGCGGGCCGAGTCCGTGCCCGGCTATCCTCTGATTGGCCGCCGCACACCGCCTTGACCTGCTCCAAAGCGCCCGTCCAAGTAGCCGGCTACTCCCTGCCTCCCTCCCGCCGTTGGGACACTGGCGACAGCCTCAATCACAAGCGCGTCGAAAACGACTGGCGGCTTCGTGGCGTCGCCGTGACCGGCAGCGAGCCGCCTCGCGGTGTCGCCGCCTCCGCCTTCCGACTCGCCTGCGTCGCTCACGATGCGAGGTGAGTGCAGCGAGGAGGGAGGCGGGCTCCCCCCTCCGGGGACATGTGCGGCGCACCTCATACATCTGAGCCTGCTTGAGTGGCGCCTCCTCCTC